CTTGATGAGATCTCAGAACATGCAACACCCTCTTAAGAGACAGGCTCCTTATCACCTCACTAAAATGCAGCTCTTCCTGCTCACTGAGAGTTTGCTTTATGAATTTTGCTAAATGATGATATTTCTTTCCCACTAAGGCATTTTCTCATGTACTTAGGTTTGGCAAAGTTGGGCGGGGACTTGCTCAAGGCAACAGAAACACCAGCGCACTTCATACTTTATTAGCCTAGTGCACTTCATACTTTGTTTCATTGCTATTATACATTTTAACGTATTTTAAATTTCTCTTAGTGTGATCTTGGCAAAGAAACAGTTTTTCGTTTTGTTATCTTTACTAGTCTACTCCAGCTTAATGTAAACCATGCCTGGCTTTCAGTTTTAATATTTTATTTTTTTTTACGCTTTTAAGAGACTGTTAGCTTGTTCTGCCATTTCTTTCTTAAAATGAAAGTGGGGAAGGGCACCTTAGAGACTAATTCCTTCAGAAAGACATGATTTATCTGTAAGCAACAGCCTACTTTGTCAGATGCTGAGTGAATCTGCTTTCTGCCTGACTTCAGACTAACATGACTAAGTATATCTTTCTCTTTAAAACAATTTCCTAAAATTCATACTTCATAGTTACTTCATATCTACTTTCATAGATTTCATAGACATTAGGGCTGGAAGGGACCTCGGAAGATCATCGAGTCCAGCCCCCCCGCCCAAAGGGCAGGAAGTCAGCTGGGGTCATAGGATCCCATAGAAAACAGTTGGGCTAGAGCAGGGTCACCAACATTTTTGGGCCAAGTGCCAAAAACACCTGCAGCTTCAAATTGTAAGACGTTAGTGTGCTGGGGCAGATGGCAAGGGAGCCATGAGGGGCCTGATCCTTGTTGTTGCCACATAGCCCCAGCCCCTTCCCCACCATCCACCCAGAGCACACATGCCAAGCAAAATGCCTTCAAGTGCCACACTCCAGCACCTGGGCCAGGGGTTGCCTGCCCCTGCACTAGAGTTTCAGAGGCACTTTGCACACCAGCATCTCACACCTGGGCTAAGTACAGGCAGTCAAAAATCCCAAGGCATCTACGCTGCAGAGATTAAACTGAAAAAGAACTGGACACATTCACTTTTGATTCGGAAAGTGCAGCCACATGCCTGCATTGGCTCAGGCCCGAAGCTGGGGGGGGGCGCTACAGCACAGCTCTCTGGCATGTAGCCAACATGGGCTGTATATTTGCTTCCTCTTCCTGCTGCCCCGAGGTCTCTGGGATTTGCAGTCCAGAAATCACAGAAGCAGGATTCTGCAGGGTTGCTCATCACTTCCTCTTCCTAATTCCAAGTGCCTCTGGCATTTGTAGTCCACAGCCACAGCCAGCAGTATGTTTTTGGCATTGCAGGGCAGCTCTGTACTTGGGGGAAGGGACGTTTAACCCCCCGCCCTGGCCCCAGATCCCAGCCAGGGTTTGTCGAGGAGTGGGTCTTTCCCTGCCTTCCCCCCCACCCCACACACAACCCTTGTCTGCTTGAGCAGACAGCACAGCCCAGCCCAGGGCTGGAATGCATGCTGGGACGCTGGAGGCCCGTGAGTTGACTTGAACCAGGAAGGAGTCTGGGACAGAAGTTTGACCTAAATCAGTCAAGTCTGATGCTACATTCAGCCAGGTTATCTTAAATCAGTTTCAGCCATTTGAAACCAGTGTATGTGCATTGACTTTCTGTTCTGTTACAGGTTTAAACCAGCTTCTGCTCACTTAAATCAGTTTATGTGTAACTTCTGTCCCTAACCCTAGGTATCAGTGGAATCATCATCTTTGATTTAGAAAACCCATGTTGCCCAAGCAATGCCTGGGTGGAACTGGACACATATATACATGCAGCAAGGCTGCTCTGACATCCTGTAATTACAGGATGTTTGAACAGACTCAATTAGTTGAGTCTGCTGGGGCATGGCAATTACCAGACTCCAGCATCATGTGCATCAGTGTCTCCACACTGAAAAATGGTGGTGGGGGAGCTTTAACTAAAGCTTGTTTAGTGAGGTTTAGTTAAAGCACCCCTGCTGCCATTTTTCAGCACAGAGGCGCTGATACACTAACGTTCCAGGTGTAATGCCCCCCACACCCCACTCCCAGCGCACATCTATAAAAGCCCAGAGAGAGGGAGCCCCAGAAACCAGGGAAGTGGGGAGCCAGGAGATAAATGCAGAGGAATGAGAAGTGAGTAGCATAGACACCTCCTATGGCCAGTAACAGGCATCTTGAACTATGATCTCAAACCCCTTCCTGGAGTCAGGACCTAAGCCAAGGCAACCTGGCTTTTCTCTTCATAGAGGAGGCAACAACAATATTAAAATACTTACTTGGGCTATGAAAGATGCAAGTTAATGCATCTGCCTCCTAGGCAAGAGGTTCAGCCACCAGCTAATTGGATCCAGGGTGGGAAGGGCAAGAGGCTATTGCCAGGGGGTACTTTGTATAAATACTTAAATATGTGTTGGGCCAGAAAGAGAGACCAAGGCACTCAGCTGGAATGTCAGAGCCAGAGGTACAAATTCCTGCACCAATACCATTTATTGATTCAAATGGGGAAGATCTCCAGGAAACAGACAGAAAGACAAACAGAATCTCAGTATGGGGGAGATGGTGGTTAGGGCATTGACCAGGGATGTGAGACATGGATTCTAGTCACCCTGTTCTAAATCATACGGCTGGAGAACTTGAATACAGGGCTCCCATATCTCAGGTGTCTAACCTACTTACCAAAAGACACAGATTCTCATTCTCATTCTCTCTCCCCCTGCCCCTAACTCCTTGCACTCTTTCACACTGACTGGAAGACTTTTTATGCAGGCAGATACTAGTTTAATCATGCTTGGAGCATATTGATAGGGTCAAATGGGCAACATAAATGGGGAAATGGCTAGTGTAAGAATCCCACTGTAGAGCTTCCAGGGTTTCACCAAACAGCTCATAAGCTGTGGTTACTGTCAGTGTGAAGATGACTTTGCAAATGTCCACTGACAGATTTAAGTTGCTGTGGAACTTGGGCATTTAAAGGCTAGAAGCCAGTTTTGAGGATGTCAGTGGCATCTAAATGGTAGATATTGAAACCTAAACAATTGTGTAGGCCTAGGCCTTGTGTCTTCGTTATAGTATCCACCTCTATACAGATAAATGACATCTTTTCCACAAGGTTCATTTTTTCTGTGATCCAGTAATTATCAAGCTGTGACAATCCAGCAACCTGTATTAAAACCAACAGTGAATTAGCACACGCTGGCATCTGCAGTATTAGGATTCAGCATTATCTAGCAAAGGAAAATAATGAAAGAGAAACATGCCATGTTCATTCAGTGCTGTTGTCAGAGTATAATGTTACCTATACCACTGGAAGCACATAAAAAATTTGCCCCATGTATCTAGGACAATGGTTCTCAACCTTTTTAGATTCCAATGTGGCACCCCATTTCACACCCTAAGTTATTTATTACAGTGCTTACCTCCTTGCAGAGGGGCCAGGCTGGGATGAACCTGAACCTACATCTTTCTGCTTAGCTCCTCACACCTCATGGCACCCTTCAAAGGTGTCCTGGCACCCTGGTTGAGAATCACTGATCTAGGACTGTTAATTTATATCTGTTACCATGAATGTCATACTCCAGTGTAGGCATTACTTTTTTAAATAGTGACCACATTGCCCATACTAACCTTTACAATGTTTCTAATTTTAATTTGGATTTATTCTTTTACAATGCAGAAAATGCGACATTCTCCATTTTTTTCCTCTCAGGAAACAGTCGAGATTGGCCAAAGCACAAAGAAATGCATACAGTCAAATATGAATGTTGGTTGAAATGGTGGCTGTCGCATCGCTCTCTCTCACAGAAAAAGCCAGGCAAATGCTGCGGGCTGAATCTGTCTTCACTTACAGCTGCGCAACCCTGCATTGCAACAGTGTTACTGTGGGCAGAATTTGGCCCTAGAATTGAATTCACTGGCATTCTTTAGGGTTAAGTGAAATAAGATTTGAGGGCCAATTTCTGTTCTCAATTACGTATTTTTTTAATTTGCTGAATAAACTAAGAATTTACAGAGATGGCAAAAAGAACATTTTTATTGCTAAATAAATTATATACACCATGGAAAAAAATGTCAGTTTGAATTGAAAAGGAACCAGAAACAAGTTTTCAATAAATTAAATTAATGGGCAAGAACTGCTGATGATGTTTGGGGTGGAGGGAATTGCATAATAGTCATATTTTTGCATTTTATTTTCCATGAGTGTGTTTTTTTTAAACAAGAGCTCTGGCTCTTTTGTTTCTGTTGCCTCTGTGCTAAGTTCTCATTCTTGGGACACCACAATTGAGTGGGTTTGGGAATGATGATAAATATCACAAACTGAAAACGGAAAGAGTGAAAAGTAAACTTCAAGATCAGATTAACTAAATTTAAACCATAATCATCCTCTATTCATATATGACCGTTAGTAGCAAAGAACAAGTGAAAAAAGAAACTCTTTTGTGGAAACCGTATGCCCTCAACTGAGGTGGTAGCCAATTTTTAGTTGGTGCTGTTTTCTTTCAAAGTAAACACATTTATTGCTGGTACTGTTATTTTACTGTTATTTTCTGGCATAATCAAGTAATAAAAAGGTGATCAGCTATATAAAAATCTCTACCATTGATTAAGCTACAGGATAAAAGTAAACTAAAAACACTATAATGTATAAACAAATTGCCCTTATAGGTAAATGACTCACGCCGAATGAGATCACTTTCTACATCACGTATTTGCCACAATCTAGATTAAAGTAACATAAATGCAAAATGTCCTATTTAATCGATGCTGTGCCAAATTATGCTTTGTTACGCTAGCACAAATTTAGAGCCATTGCACTTGGAGGTGGGGAAGCAGGGAAGAGGTCACAGAAATGAATCCAGATTTATGCCAGCTTGACATCTGAATTTTGGTCTTAAGTTCTTTTCAAGCAACTTTATTATATATGTGATTTTTAAGGCCCCGATCTCGATCAAGGGACAGTGGTGATGAAAATGAACCAATTCAGGAACGATTCTTCAGACCTCACTTCCTGCAGGCTCCTGGAGACCTGACTGTTCAAGAAGGAAAACTCTGCAGAATGGACTGCAAGGCAAGTATCAAGTCTGTTTTAATTTGTGTTGAGCAGCAGACTCCTTGGTTCACACTCGGTTGGATCTTAGAATATTTATCCATCTCAAACTGCCTCGTGTAAGTGGGATTCTAGATATGTAAAGAATTAAACCCAACAGTGAGACTTGGCCTTTGATACCAATAAGCTTATGACTGATGACCCATTCTTCAGGGGACTAGAAACAAAAAGGAGAATAGCAATATTTCTTTCTTTTTCAATAAAATATTTATTTTCTAGCCCCTTGGAATAATCATGATGGGACTTCCTGTTAAACTCAGTATTTAAAAGTTTGCGTTCGATTTGCCTTAAAGATGAAAGATATTTACAGCCTGTAGCAGCCAGGACTTGGCCTTAGAGTCCACAAAAACCATGACTAAATATTGGTTTATTGCATGAGACCTATTTAGTTCATGGCTGTTCAACAGCCCTGTGCAACTGAACAAGGGGGTTGAGAAGCTCAGTGATGTGGCTCCAAGAAACAATATCCAAGTCAGAGAGAAACTGGTGAACTAGTGAAAGCATACTGTTCAGGAGATATTATCCACCACATGATATATTTTGTATGTCAAATACTTCCCTAAATTACTTACTCTTTTAACTGAAAGTGTCAAACACATGAGAACATCCTACGGTTCCATACGAGTAGAAAGAGAGTGAGCGTGCCTGTAGAGGTCAACTGCACTATTAAAAATATGGTTCCAAGTTCACTTACTAGAACAGCTAGAAGATGGAACTGCTGCTAGGCAGCACATTTTTTTTTGGTTTGGTTTTTACTTTGTAATTCATTCTTTCTGTAGTGCTGGTCATCCTGAAGATTTTAGGCTTTACAAATATTTGGACCGCTGTAATTCAGGATTATTTCCATCATTCTTTCCTTAAGAACATTCCTTGTCCAGCTGGACAGATTTAAGTGAATAGGCTCATCCTAAGGCAGACTTCATATGAAGGCAGATAATTTTACCTACCAGTAGTAGTATAAGAACCACAAAATTACCCTTTTAACCCACCCATCTCAACATGGTCTTCCTGCCTACTGTTTTGAAGCAATTATTGGCCCTCTGATGTAATTTGTTTACAATATTAAGAATCAGTTCATTTCTACACTGATGCAGATGTCTGTATCAATAAAAGAAGAATATTTTTCCTCCAAAAAATGGCCGCAGATTGTGAATGGGGAAGAATAAGCTCTCTATTTAACGGAGAATTGATTTTTAAAACTCAGCAGTACAAACTGGACATGTATGTCCATGTGAAAATAGGTGAGATGGAAAGCAAAATGATTGCTTCTCATCTCTAGTCCTTTAAATCTATTTGATCTATCTGAAACATTACAAAGGTGAGACCAAAATGTTTCCTGGTAGAGGCATTAGTGACTTTGTAGAAGACAATTAAAATTCAGATTTGCCATGTTTACTGTAGAATATAACTGGTTTCTCATATTAGCATAAACCTACTTTCCCAGGAAGTACCTTTCCAATGATGACACATCTCTTTCAACAGTCTGAGGTTGCTTCAGATTATTTGGATACACAGGTACGGTAGGCAGCACTGACGGTAATGAATGATACATAACTGGAGTGGAATCTGGAGTTCATATCTGTTTAGCTGACATGTTTTGTCTACAGATTTCATTCAGAAACAAAAGGCAAACTGTAAAAAGCCAGACAGGTGTCACCCAAACTTTGTTTCACAATGTAATTTCTTTTATTAGACTCAAACTAGGTTTTAACTGATCTAGCCAGTTACACCCATGAAGCAGCACTGCAATCAAATGAGTTGCATAAGGCATGTCAGTACAATTCTGCATACATCAGGGTGTAGTTTGTCCATTGTACTGTGTGCTATCCCTAAACGCTCCTACACAAACAAATCCCTTCTTTCCTCTTGAAGTAAAAAGTAAGCAATACAAAACAGAGACACACTAAGGCTCCTTCCCATTGTTTTCATATTTAAGGTCAGTGGATTACCAACTCCGGATCTAAGCTGGCAAGTCAATGGAAGACCAATTCGTCCCGACAGTTCTCACAAAATGTTGGTGCGTGAGAATGGTGTGCACTCCCTGATCATAGAGCCAGTCACAGCTAGAGATGCTGGAGTCTACACATGCATTGCCAGCAACAAAGCTGGTCAGAACACATTCAGCCTGGAGCTTATTGTTGCAGGTAACATCCTCATGCTAAGACTCTCCATTGGAGGTTGTTCGAGTTGTACGTGAAAATCTGAAATGTAATGTTTCTGAACAACAGCATCTCTTGTGCCTGTGCTCACAGTCTTTCACTCTAGTGAGCTATGAGCATAAGGGCTGGAGCAGCCTTAATTGACAATCAGTTCCTTTTCACCACCACGGCTGCACAATGGCATACCTGGCAGACACCTGGATGAGATCAACTCTTAGTCATTTGTATTAGGATGGGTTAGTTCTACTTCACTTTTGGTTTAAACTAACCTGTTTCTCAACAGTATTAAATACTTTTAAGAGGAATTAGTAGCTAGGCACACATGGTACAGTAGCGTGGAATCAAAGTCCATATGTTACTTTATCTTATGTAGCATATTCAAGGCAATGCTGATTTCTATATGCCAGAATCAAATTTCTCTTAAGGCAATTTGCCTGCACCTGATCCTGTTAGATTAGTAATGTATATGGAAATGAATAGCACATTACACACATCCCAGTGTAAAGTCACTTCATTCTGGTTGAATCCTAAAATAGTAGACAGAGGCTTATCCTGTCAGGAGATGGATAGGCCACAGGGTTTAGGAAAGCTTTTATAGGGAACACTGAAGCAATTGCAGTGTGAGTTTTGAGTGTGGCAAATCTAGTTGAACAGAGAAAATGTTTCATTTGGCTCTATTCTAAGCCACCTGTCTGCTACTCAGGTCAGAATCAGGACATAATTTACTTCTGCTGATCCAGCATCAGGTAGTGCTGTACTAACCATCACAGAAGGAATGGTCTAAAATCTTCTATTTAGCTGTGTACCTTCAGGGCCAACAGTTAAACAATATCAGCACTGTAAACATTACTGACATCTCCGTTTTTTACAGCTAAGGAAGTACACAAGCCACCAGTGTTTATAGAGAAGCTACAGAACACAGGAGTGGCTGAGGGATACCCAGTGCGACTGGAGTGCCGCGTCTATGGAGTGCCACCTCCTCAGATATTTTGGAAGAAAGAGAATGAGTCACTCACCTATAACACTGACAGAGTGAGGTCAGGCCAGTTTAATATTCTGTACAATGAATCTGATTAAAAACCAAAACAAACCACAATTGAAATAGCCTAATGCAGTCAAAGGGATATCAAGTTGGAAGAATATTTAGCATTTACAGCATCTAATAAGAATTATTACTCAGGAACCCTATGAGGTATGTAAGTATTATTGTCTCCATTTGACAGCTGGAGAACAAGAATCACATAGGAAACATGCTTTTTAAGTTCAGAGCCAAGCCAATGACTCAGCCAGGATTAAAACGTATTAGTTGCCTCCCAATCCTGTGTTCAGACAACTCCATTTGCCTCCACAGTTTAAGCAAACAAAAGTGTATTGTCTTTTTTTAAAGAAAAAAAGACACACAAAGGCTAGAAACCAAGTATACCATTTAGATTCCCAAAGCCCTTACTCAGCAGGTGCCACAGAGGCCCCTGCATTTTCACCACTGAAGCCCACTCAGCACCTAAAGGTCTGCTTCTCCTCTTATCTTTACATATTAATTTTGTTTAAATAGCTGATATTAATTTTTCACCTGGTATGTACATCTCTCTCTCACTTTGGTGGGTATTATGTGCTTATTTAGATGCGAACATCACATTATTTATAAACTTGCTTTTTAAAATTCTACCTGTAAGGTTATGTTCCTGAACAACATTCTTTGTCCTGCAGCCACCATTCTGTATGGCGTTTTAATCACCTCTTTCTCTTTTCAGTATGCACCAGGATAATCATGGCTACATCTGCCTGCTTATTCAGGGAGCTACAAAAGAAGATGCTGGTTGGTATACTGTGTCAGCTAAAAATGAGGCTGGAATAGTGTCCTGCACTGCCAGGCTGGATGTGTATAGTAAGTGATTCCCATTCTCAAAAATGCAGTCAAATAAAACCTACCTCTCCCAAAACAGCAGTTCTAATTAACTTGTATACAGAAGGTTTATGTTGGTCTCTCTTTTATTTATAGTTTCTCCACAGTAATAGCGAGCCATATCAAGACAGCAAATACTCTGTTGAAGTACATTTTATCACCTTTCAAATATTTAAAGCAAAATGAGCATGTGCAAGTCTTCTAGTTGCATCTGGCTTATTCACCCCAGCATCCTTAGCAGTAACAGTAAATGGCATGACTGCATTAATTCTTTGGGTTCTTATTACAATGCTGTGCTAGCACTAGTTTTTAACCTTTTGAATGATTTTCTAGATTTGCCTAAAATGCACCCAAAACAAATACCAGTAGGCAAGAAATTCTGGTCTTGTGGCTTGCTGCTTAATTAGCTAATATAGTTAAATATAGCTCCTCTGTTGTGAATTGATCTTAAATCTAAATTAAATAACTGATTAGATTTCTGACCAACACCATAACTGAGTGAAATAGTTATTCATGTCATGATTTGGTGGCAATGCTGTAATTTGTTGCAAGGTGAAAAATCAAAATTAAACTCTACATAGGTTTGTAATTCTCCAGGTTGCACAGGGCAGTGGTGATGACCAGCTGGCTCCCACCAATATCAATCAGGGACAACCCCAATGACGAGGAATAGAATTATATGCGTGGGGTGGGGGGATGTTCAAATCTAGCCTGGTATCTTTATTCAGTGAGGGGAAGGGGGGTGATTGCAGTGATCCATCTGGAAAACTGGAGGCAGCCAAGTCCAACTGTACTTGGCCAGTAAGGAAGTCATGACAACATACAGCCCTAAGAAGAATTCAAGGGGATAGAGGAAGGGGGATGCTTGAGGGAGAGCAGTGGTGGCTAAAGGCAGAATAATAAGCAATTTCCAGTCTTAACCTGTGCTATGCTCTTACCACAGCAGCAGTAAAGACAAAATACAGCTGTTAGTAAATAAGCACAAAAACAAAAAAGTTAAAAAAAGGCTTTGAGATAACACTTCTCTGCTTTTCAAGAGCAGGTCACTCATTCATCTGAGTGAGGACCTTACATAAGTGCACGAAACCAGCTGAATTTCTTCCTGTTCTTAAATCTGTAGCTCAGTGGCAACAACACCCACAGACCACCAAGCCAAAGAAGGTACGTCCCTCAGCCAGTCGATATGCAGCACTTTCTGACCAAGGACTAGACATCAGGGCAGCGTTCCAGCCTGAAGCAAACCCAGTTCATCTGACATTACAGTCTGGCTTGGTAGAGAGCGATGACCTGTAAACCTGAGCTGCCATACCCATCTTTTTTCTTTCAACGCAGAAACACTGAAAACCGTTGCCTTGATCAATGATACTTCTATGTCACTTTATGTAAGAGGCAAACACCTTCAAGTACAAGACATAAAGAACACCTTAACCATATATTTCTTATTCCTTATACCAAATTAGGAAAATAAGTAGCTGATTATTAATAGAAATGTACACATTGCACAGAAAAAAAAATCACAATCACCATCAACTCCTATCTAGGTTGCTTCAACTCCTGTGAATAACCATTTTCATAAAGCCAAAATACTAAAGCAAACCAGAATTTTTAAAAGTAAGCACACTGTTTGTCACCAAGTGCTTTCATAAGCAAGATATATTTGCTACACGATCATCAATGGTGCAAGGCATTTCATTTGAGGCCATTAGACCGCAAACAGAAAAATAGAATGTATGGTTATCTTTTTGCAATTCTCAAAGGGCAATGTATTCTGATAGCTACAGTGAGCAAGTGCAATATTGTAAGAATAAAACAGGAAGGGAGAAGGAAGAGAAATTTAAGCAAATGCCTTATTTCTGCAAACTGATTTCTGTTCTACAGCGAAAAACAACTGTGCCTAAAATGTTATTAATTAGCATTGGCAATTCTATATAGCAAAGTCAACACCTTAGTTCTGGATTTTTTTATATCTATTTTTTCTTTTGTGCCACCTAGCAGGAGGCTTATTTACATACTGCAAGGCTAATTTAAGCATAAATAATTTAACCTGTTCATCACGAAGAATAAAAGCTGAGGTCTAATAATGCTCCACTACAGACGATAAATCCCATCACCTAGGTGAGGCATGTGTGGGAGTAAGGAAGAATGCCAACAGTTTAGTTTTACTTCATTAGGTTAGCAAACTTGGGCGAAATAGGGCAAAAGACTGGACCTTTCTTATGGGTTCTTTGAAAACAATCTGCAAAAACATAAGAGCACTGCCATTCACATATTTGAAATCCTAAGTTCAACTGAACACAGGAGAGTGTAAGTACTGGACATTTCTGATTGTTTAGAGCTTGTGTAATAAGGCTGAGGATTCTAGAAGTGTATAGCAAGTGGAATATGGGTTGAGTTTGCTATATGGGTTTAAATGACAAGTATACACCATAGTGGATAGATTAGTAGATCTGAGGGAAGCAAAGAATGAAGATGGACAAAAAACCCAACACATTTTGTGCCATAATATTTTTAACAAAGCTTGTGTATGTGGTGGATGGTATTATTTGTTCTCTTTCCTACTGTAGGATAACACAATAACCCTACCAAGGCTAGGGCGTGTGTACAGTAGGCAAAAATGTTAGAAGGGCTACTTTCAGAATGTAAAGCAATTCTACACCAAACTGGACTCTACCTAGTCAAAGTATATTAGGCAGTTTTGATTCACAACCAATTAATTTTAATTGAAGGGGTGGGTTGGGGTGTAAGAATTTGATTAGGCCTGATGGGGGATAATGAGGTTTTGATGGTACGAGCGTACTTTGCTATGAAAGGAAAACACTGTATTCCTTATATGAAGCACATATATGGTATCTTTCATTATTTATAATAAAAGTGTTGAAATCTTTATCTCAGTTCAGTTATTCAAGTCCAGTACTTAGTTTTTTTATTTTTTATTTTGTAATTGTGTACCACACCATATATTTGCATTACTGCTATACATGTATTGCTTTGTACTTCTGTGTAAGTACACAAACCAAGTTTTTAGCGGTTAATAAACTTAAGCACATACGATAGTTCTATTCTATGCAGATTGGTGCCGACTATGGCCACACCTATAGGCATTGCTAATCTAAATTAATGTCATACACAGTCTGTCATATGGAAAAAATCTACCTATAGGAAAATTATGTTGTATCATTTGCCAAATGTTTCGACTGTGACATGCTAATTTACCATTTGTTTAGCTTCACTAGCATTATTTTGCCACCTTTATTTGTATTTATAAAAAATGTACTATTCATATTATTTTGGATTGTTGTGCTGACATGTGGGTTTAATATCAATAAATATTACACCAATAGAAAATTGTCATTTTCTGAGGTAAGATGTTCACATCTGTTTCTATATGAGGATTCACATAAAAGGTTAGAGCTTTGAGCTGTGAATAAGGACAGGTTCTTTAAAGTTTCTAAAGACAGCTGGTTTACAGAATTCTCTCTGGTCCAAGGAACAACACTCAAGAGCCACCATTGTAAAATTGTAGAATTGTATTCAATTTTTTATATTTTGTGATTCATTTGTATGTACTGTTGCACCAACCTAGACAGTCGTCTTCAATATCCAGACCTCTGCACTACCTAACAGAGATGAAGTCTGAATGTTTTCATGGAAGCCATCCTATGATTGACTGGTACTTGAATAGGTTGTTTTGATTATTTTTGTTCTTACAAAATAATTCATGACAGTATTGAACTCGGGGTTCTTTAAGTTAAATTCTGAACCCTTCCATCCTATGCCATCCATGCAGAGATGCAAGTTACCACTAATCAGAAAAGTACTAATCAAATCACGACTCACTCTATAAAAGAGAATAAGCCAAATTCAGTCCTAGAATAAATGGTTGCACTGCCAGCAATGCCAGTGGAGCTGCACCTGTTTACGCTAGATCTGAATTTGGCATAGTAAGTATAAATCGATGACAGCTTTTGAGAGCCAGATAAAATAAAGGCGTCTGAAACGCCTGATTTATTCAGTAGCTTGTGTTTCTGGTATAATATACACAAAAAGCAACAGACAAATAGATCCTTCTAATCAGCTATACATTTAGCTCCTTAGTGGGTACATCTACACATGCAATTAATGTGAAGAAATAAACTTTGGAGCAGTTTGAGCCTGCATAAACTATGCCCTGGTTGCAGTGTCTACATGTGCACCCGGGACAGCAGCAATTTGAGCCAGGGTGGAGCAGATCCAGCCTGTCAGGGGACATGGGGTGTGGGAGGGTCAGCCCCAGGCTCCAGGTCATGGTAGAGGAGCTGATTGGGGCAGGAGGGTGCTGAAAATAGAGTTGTGGGACTAGACAGCAGGTAGGAGTCTCAACAGCGGGTAGCTGGCTGGGCTGACCAGGTGCAACTGATACCCAGTCAACACCACGCTTTACTCCACAGCTAATTAGTCTACTCCATAGTAAAGTGTATGTGTAGACGTGGCCAATTGGTAGAAGAAATCACCCTACTTTACTTTCTCTTTACATATGTACATAGACATACAAAAATAGTAAATCACATATGAAACTTTAACTAAGACTCAAGACTGTTATTTTCTGTAACTATAAACAACAATCCACTGTGCTGTTACTTAGCTACTGAGGCTGTTGTTGTGGGTTTACAAATACAGAGATAGAAATTTGTGTGGCACAAGCATAAAGATACATTTACGCTGTCCAAAAATTTAGAAATGAATTAGAAGCTCATTGGATCATCAAGATTACTTTATAGAGAGATTACTTTATAAAGGGAAAAGAAATTTCTTCACAAACTACATTCAACCAAGATTTATATAACATGACTCTGGTGTAACTGATGCCACAGACTTCTCTGCTGTCCTGTAAAGTGTTTGTAGCTAAGTATTCACTGATCTTTGAAGTGACTGGGAAACCTTATCAATTAAAGCATATTTATAAAGCAATTTAAAACTAGATACAACCACATTTTGAAATAAAATCTGAAAGAGACTGATGGGGATGGGGACCTCCATTCACAGCAGCAAAAGTGATATGGCTAAATTCACATATCCTCCATGGAACACAGTTAGTTTTTCTCAGCTTTTGGAATCTGGCTAGGACTAGCTCCAGAAACAGACAACCAAAGTTGATTAAATTATCTTGCCTTGCATTATTTTCCCAATAAAAGCCTTATTCTAAAATACAAAATCTGTCAACCCCTTTGCAAGGAGATAATCCAGACCAAAAGGCAGCAGTACCTGCAGGGCAATGATCTCAGATGCCATAAAGAAGAGTAAGAACTAACTTGGATCCAATGACTCTGGGAAATAAATAGAAGATTGTGTTATATATGGCACTGCAGTCATTTTATAACGCTGGGGAATGGCCAGACCTTACTTACTGACCTCACTTTCTAGTTCTGCAGTAGCATAACTAAGCCAGAAACAGCTGCAGAGTAAGAGAGAGATAGGAAAAAATAGAACATGGACACTACTCAGACTGATTAGATCATTTACAGCAGAAGCCATAAAAAAAAAAAAATCTCATCACACTGAATAGGTTAGATTATTGCCAGCACATATTAAAAAAAGAAAAAGATAACATCACTAACCATGTTGTTAAAAGCACTTTGGTTAACTGCTGGCCTAGAATTAGCAAAGAATGCTTCAAAGTAAAGCTACAAGGGGGACTGGTATGACCTCATTTCCATTATTCAACTGCTCTAAACACTATCTGCAGTGTTTACAAGGGAGCTGCATGTAGCATTTATATCCTAAAAAGATATCTCTGCTCTTGACAGACAATATTACTTACTCACTTACTCTTTTCCAAATGATTCAGGGATTTTCTTCTAGATTACTATTTTAGGGGAGCCACAGTTGCAATCCACAGATTCTTAACTATGGTCCCTTTCATATACCATTAATAAATACCCACCATACATGATAATCGAACATTTCATTATAGAGCTCCTCAAATGAATTTGAGAAACTCTTTAAACTGAGTATAGGAAATGTCATAATTTCTATAAATTATATATTTCTGTCTGCTACTCAGTCTCTGGTCAGGTACTAGTTTACTTGTTTCTGGTCGGACTGAAATATGTAACTTCTCTTATTAAGTAGAACCTTGAATGAAATTACATAACAGTAATATCTCCAATAATAAAAAGCATTTAACAACAGCTATTAAATTCTATGCAGCATACAGATATTTGTCATATTCGTGTATCTAGCAAGGCAATTCCCTGATGAACTGAAGTATGAAAAACTATTTGCAAAATTTCATCTAAAAGAACTAGTAATGAAGGCAGGTACAGAAGGTAGATTTCTAAGTAAATACAAAACTGGCATATGCAATATTACTATTTTATTCTGTCAACTGTTTCCCTCAAATGTAATTATGCAAAGCATATAATATAGCCAAGACAAGTCTGACAGACCATGAAGTTACTTTAATGAATATCAAGGGATATACCAAGGGAACTGGACTGGCATACTCAAACAAAACAACTTCTCAGTTTAATAAGTTCAAGGGTAACAAGCCTGCTTACGGACAAGTTTAGTAGGAGTGGAATCAGAGAGAGGTAGGGCTGGAAAGGACCTCAAATGGTCTAGACCTACCCCCTGCCTAAGGCAGGCTCACCCTATCAAAACCATCTTATACAAATCTACTGCCTAACCTCTTAGCAAAATTAGTGTCAACCCTGACACAACATATGCCCACATGCCATTAACACCCTTATCCACCACAAGTAAAGCAGGGGGGCTATGGCAGCCAATGTTCTACAGCTATAAAGGTTGTCAACATATGCTCAAGAAATCCCAGGAAGAGGGCCACACTCCTCACTCCAGAGGAAGACAAAAAACCCAACAGTCAATACCAATCTGACCATGGGGTAAAATTCCTTCCTGACCCCAAACACGGCGTTTGCTCCGATCCTGAGCAGAGGGGCAAGACCATCTAGCCGGGAACCTCCAGGTTTATGTCCCAGCAGGAGCACTGCACACCCCAGGCCCAATCCCTAGTCTTGGCTGCAGCCAACACCCGATGCCTCTGAGGAAGGCTTAAAAAAAACCCCTGACATAGTAGGCATGCAAGCAGCAGAGGTTGGGGAAGACAGGGAGTTCCCTCCTAGCCCCACGCAGCAGCCAGCGAACCCCAGAAGCATGAGAAATATCCATAGCAGAGCACAGGCATAGCTACATCCATGACCAGTGGCTGTCCAACTTCCTCTTGAACACCTACGGTGATAGAGAGTCCACAATGAATCGTAATACGTTCACATGCTTTTTTTCTGATTACTAACAGCAAACATCTTTTCTTGCATGTGAAATAAGTGTGACAAATTGTCAATGTTTAGTCCACGTTCACTTCATTATGCAACATTGTCTACAAAGCCCCTGTATCTGAGATGTTCGAGGAGGATTTGTTCCCAAGGAAGAGAAATTACTTTTAAGTAACGGATCTTCAAAATGTTTTGTCCACATACATATGAAATCAGAAATTTTTGACTGGCAATATCCAGTGGAAACATGACTGAACTTTACATGTCATTGTGCCCTATCTCCTCAAGGACATAAACAGCATAGTTGCCCCAACTGCCTCTCAGTTCCTCGCTCGTTCAGAATCCCAGTAAAGATGGACTTCAAAAAACTGAAAAGTAGAGGATAGGTTGAGAGAGCCACATGGAAAAAAAGCATCTTGGCAAAACAGTTACTATAACAAAAACCTATCTTTTTCCATGTGGATTCCACTTATGATGGCTAACAATAAGTTTCCAGATTTTAGAAGCTCGAACTACAGTTATCTAAATAAGGATTACAGAACCACTCTTCTAAATTTGGCATATGATATAGTTAGTAAAAGCATATAATGTTTGGTAAAATTATGGGCTGATCTTGATGTGGCTGCTCACCGGATCTGTAATTAAGGATCTACCAAATTCACTATTTCACAATTTTCATGGAAACCGCAAATTTGGTAGGCCGCCTGTGAAAAGGTCCTGATCCCACAAAAAAGTGGGAAAATGGCCAGCAAGTGGGGGGCGGCTGGCAGGGAGCGGCAAACAAAGGCAAGAAGCCCTGGCATCCTGAAGCACAGGTGGAAAGAGGGAGGGAGAGAGAGAGGGGAGGGGGAAGATTTTCATGGTGGAGAACAATGGGCTCCCCCATGCCTTTGGCTAAGGAGCTCCAGAAGTCCCACCCCTCCCCAGAGATTGACACATGGCCATCTGTCAATCTCTGGGGAAGGGTGGGACTTCCAGGGCCCCTTAGCTAATCAATCAGAAGCGTGAAGGAACCTGCCACACTCTGCCACAAAATGGGACTGTGCCATGCTTGAACCAGGAAACCTGG